AATCTTTTACACTTTTGTCAATATCGGCTATCATGTTTGTTGTTATATCATTGATGGGTAAGTTATATTCTATTCCTAATGCTAGGAAATGTCTTGCATATGTAGGTATTAGTACTTTAGAGTTATTTAGGATTAACTTATTTACCCAAGCATTTTTTTCCTTGGGTGTTGGGTAAGTGAATAACTTGTGTAGTTTCATATCTTTTTTATATTTTTTTAATTGTTAAATCTTTTACACTTTTGTCAATATCGGCTATCATGTTTGTTGTTATATCATTGATGGGTAAGTTATATTCTATTCCTAATGCTAGGAAATGTCTTGCATATGTAGGTATTAGTACTTTAGAGTTATTTAGGATTAACTTATTTACCCAAGCATTTTTTTCCTTGGGTGTTGGGTAAGTGAATAACTTGTGTAGTTTCATATCTTTTTTATATTTATAATTATTTGCTATTCCTTTATATGGGTTATCATTATGAATAGATTTATGTAAAACTTTTTTAATTGGTAATTATAGTTCTTCCATTTTTTATGTTTAAATCTAATGATGTATTTTATTATCATTCGTTCAATTTTCCACACAGCATGTTTAGGTATAATGTTTCTGATTGATGTTTTTAACTTCATCGTATTTGGTGTAACGTGTTTGGCATAACATTTTTCTAACTAATTTCTGTTTGATCGTCTACTAAAATTATTGTTTGGATTGCAAAGACGCTACACACAGAACAGAAGATTTATGTTATTATTTTATCAAGTAAAAGTTAAAATAAAATAACATTATACTATTTACAAATAGGGCGATGAGTCAGACTTAGGTGTGGCAAGTAGGATATTTAAATTTAACTCATTATCTGCAAAAGTGAAAACAAAATTAGTAGCTGGTTAATGGCTTTCCTTGTAATATGACAGTTCTAATCAAATAAAAATGAAATTTTATAAGAATATAATTAGGCTAACTATGATATATTGATTAGAATGTTGGGGACAAAAAAATGGACATATTAAGATGTAGGTAGCTTAGATCAGGCATGGCCAGCATATGGCTATGGGCCAGATCTGGCCCGTCTAATGAATTTATGTGGCTCATGATCAATCTTTCAATATTAGGTACTGAAGTCCGAATAGCTTGATGAAAAATTCTGATGCCTAAAACAAAAAAAGGTCAACAACTCACTGCATTTAGAGTTAGGCACTTGAGTTATCTGTTGATTATACCCATTACAAATCTCGTAAGTACAGCATAATGTGTTGATAAAGCATGATAATGTGAAAAATGTATCTGTAATCTCTATCTACAATTTAGTCTCTACGGTGTGACACCACAATGAGATCTCGCACCACCTCAGAATCTTCCTAGGGCAGCCTCAAGTTCGGCCCGTGGAAAAAGTTTTCTTTCCAATTCTGCCCGGGGGCAAAAACTGTTGGCCACCCCTGGCTTAGATGACTAAATAGGGTAATATTGAAAGATAGATTCAGAGCCAGTTTAATTAGAGTATAGTATAGATGTAATGAATGTAGATGATACACTCATGGAAAACAGGCTTTAGATGATTAAATTATACTGTGAAATGAGTGAATAAGAGAGAAGAGAGGTGGGATAAAGTGAACAAGGAGAATCAGAAAATTAGAGCTAAAGTTTATAAATATTTATTATTAAACTTTTCTTGATTATCAATCATTAAAGATTGATAATCAAGAACTGAAAAGTAACTGTTAAATTAAAACATTAGAACTCAAAATTGATTGTCATTTGGCAATTATTTTGTGTTCTGTTCTAAAGTACATTCATAAAAATGCATTTATAACAATGACATAAATTATTATAAATATATTTTCATACTTGTCTAATTTCTATTTAAATCTTTGAATATAAAATTAAAAAATAATAGGTTTAGTTTCAGAAAATTCATGTAATGACATGCTATACATATGTATGTACAGTACATACATAAATAAATAAAGATAATTTTGTGAAAAAATCAATTAAGTTTAAACTTTCAATCCATATTATGTATATTAAATAATTATTTAAATATTGTTTAGAAATCACCATTTGAAATTCAGTATGGTAGTGATTTTCAAGATACTCTGGCATCGCTTATTATTATGTTGACACCAATTACTCCACATTTCAGCTCAGAACTTTGGGATATATTTAGATCTGTAGCCAAAGAAAGTAAAATTTATAAAATAGTAAGTTTATTTAAAAATAAAATAAATTTTCCAAAAATTCTTTTTTGAAGTTTGTTTTTTCTCTTTAATAATTAAAAATAATAATTGAATTTTTCCTGTTTTTAGGAAAAACCAGTTGTGGAACAACAATGGCCAGACTTAGATAAAGATTTTTTACTAGATTTTAACATTAACGTAAGTGTAATTATATTAATAAAATTTATATTAATTTAAATTTATTAATACATAAGAATTTATTTATTAAAAGTAACAAATTTCTGTATATGTTTTGATCTTATAAACTAAAAGATAAACTTATGAAAAAAAACAATTTAATTATCATTTTAATATATTATTGAATCCTATTTTAAATTGGATTGAATGGATAAATAATTTTTATTTTAAAAAACCATACAATATTGAATTTATAAATTTCAATGTTATAAATTTAATTTATACTACAGAATAATATGTACCAATCTAGTTACTATTAATAAATACTTATAAATCAGAATTAATATTATTAGAAGAAAATGTGTGTAATATGTTAAATTTATCCTTTTTGTATAATATTTTTTAATTTAATTTTCATTCCTAAGAAAGTCTAAAAACTGAAAAGTTGTATCAACATTTTCATAAATATTTTTTTTGATATAATAAACTTCATACCTTCATACTTGTGTGTCTTAATAAATTCTATGTCAATCCAAATCATTAAGTAATTTAACTAAATATTAGTCTGTTAGTTTTTGGTGAACTTATTAAATTTTCTATATTGACTAATTTGTTTTAGTAGCAATTTTAATTCATGACAAAATAACAACTTAAAAAACACATCAAGATAAAAATAAAAAAAAAAACACTTGCAATATGAAATGAAATGATTTCTTTTAGACATAGAAATGATTATCCAAAATATTCTGTTTCATTATCATCATTTATTTATTTAGTACAAGGTGTTTTACCCTTTGTACTGGAAACAAAACAGTAAAATACATTAAATAAACAAAACAATGTATAAAAAACATTAACCACTTACCAAACTGTAACCTGGTGCCATAATAATCATTACTTTTCAATTAAAATTTTATTTTATCAAATTATTATTATTATTATTATTATTATAAAACTATGTTTTATAAATTACTTGTTCTTTAATTATCAGAATTTTTAGAAAATTAAGAAATTATGTTGCTTAACAAGCAACTATTTTTAAACATTTATAAATTTTTAATGCATTTTTTCCAGATAAATAATAAATGTGTTCATAGAAGTCCAATCACTCAAGAGGAAATGAAGAATTTTACTAAAGAAAAAGCACTCGACATTGCATATAATACAGCAGAGGTAAAGAATGCCATTAAAGATCATGTTATAAGAGAAACATTATATAATGTTATACCAAAATATCAAGTATCCTTAGACATTAATACAAAAGTTTTTAAGAAGAAAGAAGAGACAGATGAATAAGTAATGACTTTTTACCAGAAATATTTGTACATAAGATTAATGTATATAATTTTTTATATAAGATGGATAGATAAGAAAAAACAGTATATAAGCATATTTAAGGAGATAAATTCAGATTAAACAAATAGAATTAAAATGTTAATTTTAATTTGATGATGATTTTTCCAGTTATGAAAGCATAATTTCATAGCAATATTTGGTCAGTAAAATGTATTTTGTTTAAAAAATGTGTTAAAATTATAAACATTTAGATATGCCAGTTAAAATAAACAGTTATTTATTTACAAACAAAATTAACTGTGGTTTTATTTATGTATNTATAAGAAGTTTGAATACTGCAGTAGAGCTATAATTTTTATTGTTGATATATTTCTTTAATATTCTTTATTTAATACATTAAACTAAATTTATCATGTTAAAGTCATAAAATGTATGCAGAAATGTTTAGTAAAATGTAATTTTTAATTTTTTTTTTGTTTTTCGTTGTTTTTAAAAATCAATAAGAATAAAATATCAAATTCTGTTTTATCATAAAATGGCATTTTTCTTTACATTATAATGTCTTAGCTCTCTAAATTACGTTCCATCATTTATTTCTAAAAATACATATCTGTTATAGGTCTTAGAGATGCATTAAGTTGGCAACGAAAACTTTGGTTAACTCTTGAAACATTTGAAAAAATTAAAAATAATACAAATCCTAAAGAATTACCAGAAAATGAATGGAAAAAATGGGAAAACGTTTTATATAAAAACAGAAATGACTGTATTAAAAAGGTAATTTTTTAAAAATTATTGTTTGACAATTATTATTGGTGAATTGTTTTAATTTCATACTGTATTTCTTGGATTTAATAATAATTCAAAATATTCTTACAGGTATATGTGTAAACTTAGTTTCAGTTTGGTGCATTTTAGTTATTAGTTATTACTGATAATATATTATCATGTTACTTATACATTTTAGAAAATAATTTCAGAAACATTTTATATCTCCTGAGAGCTTTGTTCTATTATACACTATAAGATCAAGGTATTTATAGATTACTTATCAAACAGAATGGAATTACACGAGACAAATAATTTATGCTGAAATATTACCCAAAACTTTATAATTCAGCATTTATTTGAACTCATCATTATAAAAAATATATTATGAAATTACAATTACATTGTGAAAGTAACTTTTAATGTGATGATGAAATTCAATAAGTATCCATACTTTCCTGGCTGTTATCAAATATAACATAGGAAAAGTATTGTGATCAGTCGAATTTTGACCTGTTCCCTGTTTTTTGCAGGAAATGCTCGACGTTTTGACCCTCCGGGCAGTCAAAATTGTAAAAAAACCCTTATAAAATTCTCTCTAGAGGCATCTGTTTTGCATTAGGCTTATATCGCAGGACTGGATGAACCACAGATTTTAAATCTAAAAAGGATTATTTTTGTGTGTGAAACATTGATACTATTAAATTCTGGTAGGTAAAGTTCAAGGGGGTGAAGAGAGAAAGGTGGGATCATTTGTCATATCTTGAGGGGGGCCATATGTAATAAAAGTTTTACTCGTTATTAGTATTTACAATTTATAAAAAAAACTACTCCCAAAATAATCGTTTGAATTTGAATTAGGGGCTTTATAAGAAGAAACTTTTGGGGAAATATTTTCTTATAAAAGATTGGTTTGGAGCCCAAGCAATTGCTCATTTTTCCCATGCCACAGAAA